AAAGCCTTCTGATCCTCCTGCTGGAAACATCCGTCCCATGTGTTTCTGCGTGCTGGCAGATGGTAGTATTGTTTTACAGCAGAAACACATGGACGGGGGAGTTAGGACAACAATGACAGTGGATCCTGTAGGTATCTGTGAGGCATGATGGAGGAGTGATGGATTCTGGCCGAGTACACACACACATACACAAGAACACACACATTTGCATCTATAAATACATAGAGCTCCATGGCAACAGTTCAACAAACAGCTGTGGATTTGTACCACTGTGATGTTTGTTGTATTGCCTGTAAACAGGTTCGGGCTGTGGGTTTGTTTTGTTGCTGTTGGGATGCTGGAACTCAGGATAATTTACATTCAAAAGGGATCAGTTACAATGAAATACGAAAACAATTAAAACATGAAACCTGAAAGTAGATGAGGGACAAAATATTTGGCCTAAGCATAGACTGTATTCAAAAAGTGGCCGCAGCCACCAGGATACCATTTTGAAGCCTTGAGTTTGGCATTTTAGCCACAGTTTTCTTGTTTCTTTTTTTAACTAGAAGTGACCATATTTGGAGAAGAGGGCAAGTCCTCATGTCATGCCACTGTGAACGTGTGTGAATTTGGACCGTTTAGTCAAAATTCAAACAAACAAAAGAAAGTTCATTGACATTTCAATCTAGCCTACTAGCCATCACATCAAATGTTGGGAAAAGTTGAATGGAGTTTAAGAGGTAAATTAAGCATTACTCTGTAGCAGCAGGAGTAATACATCATCTCTTTAGTGGATAGCCTAACATCAAAATCAGGCTTCAAACTTTCTTTGATTCTTGCACATATTCCCGAATATATATTTCAGAATTTCCAAAATAACTTCTGCGAGAAACTCAGGAGACTAGATAATGTTAAAGCAGGAGGAGAGCTTGTGCAACATTTTGATAAATATTGATTAGGATCTGGACAAATGTATCAACGTGGACAAAGAAACTGCCTCCAGGTGTTACGAAACACTGTTTTGAGATTGATGTCTGTTGCCCAGGGCCCAAAAATATGTTCCTTTTAAACTGACAATATAGAAGAAACTCCCATTTCTTTCTGACTCTTTGTCAGCTAAGAGGTATTTTAGAAATGTTGCAGGAATAAATGCGTTTTCCTTAAATATCCTATTTTTGTGCTTATATTTATCTTAAGAACATTTTCTTTAGTTTGTTGCTTAACTGTCACATTAATGTCAGGTAACGCCTTGCTAAAATACCACTATTTAAGCTATATACCACTATTTAAGCTATCCCTGCTGCAGTCTGTAGTCCCCACATGCTTCAAACATTCCACTATCGTTCCTGTCCCGAAAAAGACAATCATCACCTGCCCCAACGACTACCGCCCAGTAGCACTCACCTCCACCGTAATGAAGTGCTTTGAGCGGTTAGTCAAATCATTCATCACCTCCTCCCTCCCTGAATCTCTGGACCCCCTGCAGTTTGCCTACAGAGCAAACAGGTCCACAGACGACGCCATAGCCCTCACCCTCCACACTGCCCTCTCACACCTGGACCCGAAGAACAGGAACACATATGTGAGAATGCTGTTCATTGACTACAGTTCAGCATTCAACACCATTGTGCCCTCCAAGCTGGCCATCAAGCTCAGAGACCTCGGGCTCAACAGCGCCCTCTGTGACTGGATCCTGAACTTCCTGACGGGCAGACCCCAGGCAGTGCGGGTGGGAAACATCACATCCTCCACCCTGATCCTCAACACCGGTGCCCCTCAAGGCTGCGTGCTCAGCCCTCTCCTCTACTCCCTGTTCACCCACGACTGCGTGGCCACACACAGCTCCAACACCATCGTGAAGTTTGCTGATGACACGACCGTCATCGGCCAGATCACAGACGATGACGAGACGGCGTACAGAGAGGAGGTCGAAAACCTGACATCTTGGTGCCAGGATAACAACCTCCATCTCAACATCAGCAAAACAAAGGAGCTGATTGTGGATTACAGGAAGCAGCAGGGAGAGGGACACGCCCCCATCGCCATCAATGGGACTACGGTGGAGAGAGTCAAAAGCTTCAGGTTCCTTGGGGTCCACATCACTGAGGACCTGACATGGTCTCTTCACACCACCACCATCACCAAGAAAGCTCGACAGCGGCTCTTCTTCCTCCGCAGGTTGAGGAGGTTCAAAATGGATTCCAGGATACTCTGCAACTTCTACAGGTGCACGATAGAGAGTATCCTCACTGGCAGCATGACGGCCTGGTACGGCAGCTGCACCGACCTCGATCGTAAGGCTTTACAGAGGGTGGTGAAAACTGCACAGAACATCACCAGGACGGAGCTGCCATCCATGGAGGACCTTTACTCCCAGCGGCTCAGGAAGAAATCACTACGGATTATCAAAGACCCCCATCACCCCAGCCACAAACTGTTCTTTCTGTTGCCGTCTGGCAGGCGGTACTGCAGCGTCCTGGCAAGGACAAGAAGATTCGGAGACAGTTTCTTCCCGCGGGCAGTGAGACTGTTAAAAAATTGAACTGTTGAAACAACTTCAAACATTCATCTGCTACTCAGTAGTATGTATCTAATACCTAATATATATATATATCATTCCAATAACTTGTATATAGACTCGTACTGCACTATTTCACATCATCACTTTATTTTATTTTATAACTATTTTATAACTATTATTCTTTTTGTATTGCTCTTGCCCTTATTGTTATTATGTTATTATGTTGCATTGTTGGAGAAGCCTGTGACATAAGATTTTCAACTACATAATTACTCTGTAGCTATGTCAGATTGACAATAAAGAACCTTGAACCTGCATTTTAACAATTGAGGACTCTGCTTTCTGTTGTTTCGAACAAAGCTTGTAAAATCATTTAAAAGAACAAAATAAATATCCACTAACTTATGTCAGCTGTAGCAACCGCAATGTCTCTAAGCAAAACGAGTCTGTTGACTATGAATCCTGTCTTGGTGCACCCTAAAATCATCGTGACAGCTGAAATACCTGAAAAAACTGACAATGTCAAAATGTCTGCATCAGTCAAAACATTTCACTGAGGAGTTCTCTAATGGGTTGCAAATGTGAACAGATGTGAGCTTCTCAGAGAGCTGCTGACGAGTGTAATCAGCAGCAGGTGCGAATGGTTCAATCAGAAGAGAACAAGTAAGAAATCTGCAACTGCCCAGAAAATGTTGCGCCATTGCTTTTGTTTGGCTGTTCAGATAAAAACATTATGATAAAATTGTCCTTAGTGTCACGCAACAACATATTTCCCTAAACTAAAATCTAAACGGAATACATTGCGCAGAAGAAAACAAATCAAGAATAACAAAATAAGTAATTTCATGCGGTTATTTTCAGAGAGCCTCCGGTAATTATGTTTATACAAATAATTTGCAACAGGAAATGATTTGTATAAACATAATGCAGATTAAATAACATGTTCTACTTTCTAGTACAACATTTATTATCTGCTCTGTCAATTATTTGTAGGCTACTGTCCAGAAACAAAAAAGGGATACATTTACATTTTTGACTTCAGTTTGCAACACAGACTTAGAACAACTACTGACATTTATAGTTTTTCTGCTAAAGTTTTCTTCTTATCTAACTTACAAACATGAACACAGCCATCAAACAAACATTCACCATCATCTAACCACAGACGGACAGAAACATTTCAACCACCCCCTTGCATTTACTCAGTAATTCACTCAAAAAATGATTCTGCTGAAATCTAAATATTTCTTATGACATCATTTGATGCTTGTACCATGCATCTGACTGGAAAGATTGCAAAGGACACACGTGGAAAAAGCTGATAACAATCATTCTGCACCAAAAGAATTTGGAAATGTGTTGTATGAGCAAACCTACTTGCAAACTTGAATAAACAATCAGGAAGCAGGGTTTTGAATCTGTCATTATTTTTAAGCCACACTTGCAAACATAGCTATAGAATGTATGTCTACAGGCTGTCTTCAATGGCTGCTATCAAACATCTGATAAAATGAATCTAGGTACGTTTGAGTAAAACAAATGTTGAAAATGTCAAACCACGCACCAACACTGTCTTTTTTACTGCATCATTTACCCATTCATGACTCGCTTACAATAAAAGTAAAGGCAATTTTAGACACTCGTGAATCATAACTTTACGTCATCACTGACATTTGATATGGTTTTGTTAGCAAAAACATTTTATAACGCGACTTAGATGCCGTTTACTCAGTACCACTAGAAATGATGCTTCAGTCTTCAGTGAGAAGCAGAAAGATGGAAAACAAGTGCGCCTAAAATAGGAAGGAGTGAAAGAGAAAAATAAAACGTGTGTGACACAGAGCTTGGACCAAATGTGCTGTGATGCTTTTTGTTCACACTACTGAACACATTGCCACACTATCGCAGTAGGAAGTAGTTTATCACAATGTTTTGGGTTGTGACTCCTCACTGCAAAATGGCATACATTGATCAGAACAAATGTTTTACTCTATAGTCCTTTATAGTTTTCTTTCTGCTTTGCACCAGCAAAACCTGTACATGTATTAGTGTCTCAAACTATGACTTATTTAAATGTACATTAAAGAAATATAATGTTGAGCTTACCCAGTGTGTTAAAAAGTAATAGCAAGGGGTCCTGTACAACCTTTGGTGCTGGGCGATATTCAAGTTTGATAACTTATTTTCTTTAAATGGAAATGTATCCAGAGAAAATCATATTTTGAGATATCATGACACCCATCACCCCTTCTGAATTAATTTGAACAACAACACTCAAATCACTTGGAAGATTGCAGTTTTGTTTTAAATGTTGCCCTCAACTTTCCAATAAATAGTTCAGTACATTACATTTGTCGGTGAATTACCCTGGGACCTTTCAAAGATATAATTTACTATTTATTTGACCTATATCAGGAGATAAGATTCTATATTTCAAACTCTAGTGACGAGTTGGGAGTTTTGCGTTTAATCCAGTATCCTATATTTTCTTTTACAGACACAGACGTATTTGGGAAGCCGCCCTGCTATGAGGAGGCAGTTCTGATGGAGGACCCTCCCCCACCCTACAGTGAGGTCTTGTTGGACCCGCGAGGAGGCACCTACCTGAAGCCCGTCCCGCCCCGAGCTGCGCCCCCACAGCCCCCACCCATTAGGGAACACCAGGATCCAGCTCCGGTGTTCACAACGGAGACCAGCAAGCCTCCTGTGGCGGCCGTATTCCCTGAGCGAGGTTACTCCTCCCTCATTCGCCTGCCTTCATCCCAGCGCTGGGACTCATTGGGTCATCTCTTATCCAACATGGACCTGAACCACAACAACCTCACGCCGCCGGGGGCACGCTCCATCCAGGCAGCTGCCGCGATGGCGACCATGCCCCGGAGAGAGCCCAGGACTCAACATGGGCTGCGAGGGGGGATTCAAGGACTCCAAGGAGGCATACAAGGACTCAGTGGAGGGATACAAGGACTCAGTGGAGGGATACAAGGACTTCAAGGGGGGATTCAGGGGCTTCAGGGGGTTCATGGACTAAGGGGACTGGAGCCCAGTTGCGGCCTGCCAACAGCCTTCCCTCTTCTGGGTCGTAGCACCGCCGTTTAGACCTCGATTATTAGAAAATAAGTCTTAGTAACCAATGAGTGGGTCTATCTCTAAAGAGCCTTGAAGCAGGAGATCTATAGACGCCTCCTTTGCGGCTCAGTGTCTACAGCACTAACAGCACTAGTAGTAGAGATTTAATCCCCTGAAGATCTAAAAGAGTGTTAAAGTGCTGCGAAAGGCGTCAGGAGCTCAATTCCCCAGGCAGCTCTGTTGCTGGGATCATGGCTTTCGGCTCGGAGTAAAAGAGGAAATTAAACACAACGTCTCGCACCAGTGTGGTTGAGTTACAGAGGCATGCTGGTGTCACAGTAACGATGATTGAGTCTTTCAAACAACAGAGAAGGAGAAGGAGAAAAAAGGATGAGTAATAATTCCAAAGGATGAGCAACAAGCACAGCTGTTTCTCCACCTTTCATCCTCCATTTTTTTTATCTCCCCCTTTCCTCTCTCCCTTCCTTTGTGTTCATCCCGGTTCTCCTCTCGTTTCTCTGTGCCGAAACAACCTATTGTACCAGCCTGCCGTTGCCATGGTTCCCGGGAACTGTCTGTTGCTCACGTCGACCTCTCCTCTTTTATCCGCACAACATTTCCGAAAGACTCTGTTCACAGCTCGTCTCATCTCAAGGACTGCAAGTATTAACGGTGACAAAAGAGCGTGTGAGCCTTCAGTGTGGAGTCGGCCACCATGTTTGTGACATTAAAGCCCCGAAGGCCAGTTTTTACACCGAAAGACAAAACACACAGAGTGCAACAAGCTCTCCACAGAACCAAGCCTACTTGAACTGCATTTTGTAACATGCTGCGTTGTTGTTCCTAATGACGTTACTGCAAACTGTTGCGGTTTGGCCTCAATCTGGTAGTCTGGGCCCTTTTGGTGGTCGCAGAATGGCGACGTCTGGGTCATTTGAGTGAAAAAACAAAATGTTTTCATGTACAAATGTTACTATCATTCTCTTAAGCTTTGTGACAAATGCTCGAATTGCTCTTGTGAAATAAAAACATCTTCACATGCTAGGCTTCTTCTAATAATTTGTGGAGTTAAAAGAACAATATGGGATCAGCTAATTGTGTTTTTATGTTCAAAACAAAATACTTGATTAAATATTAGATTCTTCTTCAGAGCATCTTGACATCAAAATTAAAGTTTTTAACTTCAGTACTTTCTGGATTTACTTGCAGTAGCATCTCCTTTACAGAGCCGACAATAGTACTGTAATCTTTTATATTTATGAAGTCATGCATTTGTTTTGGGGTTAAGAAACGGTTGACAATTAGAAGTTTGCAAATTAGCTGTCAACAGTGATAGATTAAAATACAGCGAACATCAATTGAGCAACTCTGTTAGTCACAATCTTCTTTAGAATCTGTACCATTCAGAATTGCTACTTTAATTTATAATCAAAAGGGGCATAAGAGATGTTCTCGAGCCTTCACTTCCAGACATCTTAAGTTTCCAAAATCACATTCTTTTTCCTCTGCTTCTCTCAACTATAAATTCCTTCTCAACGTCGGCCTCTACCAATCGGGAAAGCCTTAAATGTAAATTGTGAGTTTCCGTTTCTCTCCGACTCCCTCAGTGTCTGAGTCACTCTGACCTTTCCTCGCCTCCTCCTTTTATTACCCTTACTATCTCTTTCAACATTTAATTTTGTACTTCCATCTTAATCATCTTCTATCTCCAACTGTCCTTTGTGTTGTTTTCCTTTGTCACTAATGTATTCTAAGGCTACCGCTTCTTTGATGCAACATTGAGAAACGAGGAAATGGAAACAGCCACTTTGCTGCCACTCATCTCCCGTAAAGATGCTTTACAATTTACGAACAATTTTCTGCCTTTTTATGTGCTGATAACAAGGCTAGTAATTCACTTCATCAAGGCATGTCACTCACACTCAGTAGTGGATGCGACAGTCTTCTCTGAAACACTTGTTTCAAGTGATATTTTAATAGAAAACAAGCTTAGTGTTTTTTTAAGTTGAATTACTATTCACAAAAGCTTGAAAAAGTGTTTTTTGCTTTAAAAAAGTTGAAGTTAAAATATAAGAACTACGAGTTTCCCTTTTCCTTACACATCAGGTATTTTATTAAGGCAGATGCTATTTGACTGGTCAACAATACATTTTGCACCGTGGTGATTATATAGTCAATAATGCTATTTTCATCCAAATGACTTTAGTGAACAATGCTATTTGCACCCGGGGAACTATTATCAACAATGCTATGTACACCTGGGGGACTATAGTCAACAATGCTATTAACACCCGGGTGACTGTAGTCAACAATGCCATTTGCACCAGAGTGCAGACACAGTTTTATTAAACCTCATAACTGTGATTCACAACAGATTGACAGCAGTGGCTCACAAAAGTACCATGCAGTTAATGTTTAGTGGAAAATCAAATACCCTGCTGTTTGAAGGCATACTGGTCATTTTTTGTATGTGTTGTACTAAAAGGTTCCACCATGCTATAATAACAGGTAATTTAGTTTTGTAGAGTTCTAGGTGTTTTTGTCTGTATTGTAATTAGTCATATCCTCAGATCGATGTTTCCTTCTCTTCTTAAGAGAATACATATATTGGTGATTTTGCATCAGGTTTGAAAAGTTAAACACATGTTTCAAATGATAAATGATGTGGCCTTGGAGGAAATTCTTCTCCACTTGAAGAAAATAGTTGTGCGGCAGCAGTTTTCTACCCTTGTTGGCCGATCAAGGTTTTTTCACCCACTACAGAGATCACCAGTTATGAACTTCACATTTCAACCTATAAGAACATTGAAAGCGAGAGCGACAACTACAGCAATTAGTTTAAATGTCATATCCTTTCAGCATTTCCCTGCAGCCACAAAATAATGGTAATAATGGTTTTAAATTATCATGTTCAGGTTGCCACTTATTTCCCATGATGCAGTGTGCGAGAGTAATGTGTTATGTTCGATAACTATTTGATTTGATTTATATTGAGTTCATAAACATGCATATTTGCTGCGGCGATTCTAATGGTTAACCTGTTTAGCCCTGAGCCTGTTTTTCAGGTCTCAGGCTAGAAAATGACATTCCCAGAACAAATGACCATATCTTCCCTTCTAAAAGGGTTAAATTAATAATCTTTATTCTCAAAGTAATGATAAACCTGTGAGTTGGATGTAGAAAAGTCAGAATCAATATAGATGTTTTTTATTTTAAAGAAAATTCAGATTTTACATAGTAAAAAACTGTAAATTATAGTGTCCGTCCAAAAATTATTTTTTACTTATAGGGAAAACTACCCTTGGATGATGGGTTAGTAGACTAAAAGCTTTAGGCATCCAAAGTACAACATATAATAAGTACCCTGTATCAAGATTGATGCAAAACAAGTGAAATTTGACCTTTTTAGAGAGATTTAGCCAAAAAAAACCACTTCTGGGGTCATTTGGGTGGATTTGACCTATCTCTGGCCCCCCTTGCTCGATTTTGATGAATGAAATCTTTTTATAACCGCTAGAGCCAATGGAATCGAGGGAAAGTTATATACACACCAAAACGTTAACTAATGAGTGAGAGTGACGCGTTACCAAAACCGGAAGCTGCATACACTCTGGTGGCTACCATTAGCAGCTAACTTTTCCGCTCCGATTTTTACATAAAAAATGGAATTATGGATTATAAATAATTTTTTAAAAGGCACAGGTACATTATCAACCTATGGATCAACAGTTGTAGAATTTATTTTTTCCGTTTTAATGCCATTGAACACGTCTTTTGACCTAATTGACAGCTGCGGTGAGACGATCTGCCGTAAAAGCTCCGTAAAGGTACGTGTTGTGATGTCTGTGTTTGCTTCCCCTGTCGCAAGTTCGGATCGCTCAGTGATGATACTATACCTAAATAATCAGTGGAGTCTCAGCTTTAGTAGGCTATATTGTATGTGCAGCTACGATAAGTAATAAGGGTATCTTTATCTTGAATTGTGTGCCGCAGTGCGTTAGAATTTTTTCGCTCAGGGGTCATTTAGACCCTTCTTATGAGACTTGTGTTTTGTTTTGGTAAAAATGGTTCATATCTTCAGTTAGCTGAGATTCTTCCCATTAATCTGGTGCTACACATTAATAGTTTCATAAATGTTAAGAAGCCCTGAGACATTATCTCGAAAACAAAAAGGTGGGAGGGGTCCAATGGGGGGACCGCCGTGCTTAAGAGGTTAAAGGTAAAATATACTTTGAAATGACATTTCCTCTTACTTATTGTATTATTATTGTTGAATTGACTTCCATCTCTATCAACTATGCCCCATCATTTGGGTATTTGTGTGAATATAGCTTACATTACAGATATGATAGTATAGGCCTAGTCATGGGCGTAATTTCCACTGGGGACAGGGGGGACATGTCCCCCCCACTTTTCAAAATCCCATTTGTGTCCCCCCCACTTATTAATTTTTTTTTTTTTTATTTTTTTTTTTTACGCAAGCGGTCATCGTCACGGAGGAGCGTCTGTGTGTGTGTGTGGCACGAGCGCATCTTGTGAGAGAGAGATAGAAAGAGAGAGAGACATAGAGAGTTACGGGGGTTGTTGTTAGCATTTGGTGCTAGCTCGGAGCTAATGGAGATTAGTAGCTGTTTCAACAATAAGGAGAGGGAGAGCTCTTTCCTGTCGGACTTTGAGAGACTGAGAGAGAGAGAGACAGAGAGAGAGAGAGAGAGACTGAGAGAGTTACGTGGGTTGTTGTTAGCAACTGGTGCTACCTCGGAGCTAACGGAGATTAGAAGCTGTTTCAACAATAAGGAGAGGGAGAGTCCTCTCCTGTCGGACTGAGAGAGATAACGTCAGCTCAGGGAGGTAAAGGACTCTCTGAGTGATTAGGTTGTAAACTTTAGTCAAGTTATCTCAGTGGGTCTCAAACGGTTTGGTCATCTATGTAAACAAATATTTCCATCTATGTAATATATAGTTGTATGTAAAATAAGTTAAGAAATCCTTCCAATGTGTACTATAGGTCAGTACAAAAATAAAAAACACAGTTTGAAAGGGGAGTGATTAGTCAAATATGCATAAATAAAAAGAAAAAATGCAGACTAGGTAAGATAAAGATAGGAGAGAGGAGTTTATCAATGATTTGTTATTGGTTGTGAGCATATTCTAATGGCTTTTTGATTATTGAAATATATACAGTTCTGTTTCATATGAGTGTTGAGAACTGTATCCATAAATCTCTTAATGTTGCCCTCAAAGTGCACCAGATTGATGCATTCAACTTCAATTTAAAGAAACAAATCTTCCCGGGGTGCATGCCCCCGGACCCCCCTAGAGGATGTCAGGTAATCACAAATAAAACAGGTTCACATGGATAGGATACTAGATAAGTGTGCACACTCATTATATACACTACACATTTTTCTTGGATTTGTTAACACTATAGTCCCTAATATATTTGTAGAAAGGCAGGAAATGGAATTAAATTGAGAAAATATTTCATTGCGGAGGACCCCCTGTTTTGTGTCCCCCCCACTTCTCAAACCAAAGTTACACCCTTGGGCCTAGTTCATTACAACAGCAGGGAATAAAAAGAACGTAATTTACCCAGAAAAGGGAAGTTATCAGACAATAAATACTGCAATGCTTTGCTTCTTTCAATTACGACTACACAACTTCAATCAAACAACGCCAAGGCCTCGACAAACACAGATATCAGATTTGCTGTATTTCACAGGTAGAAAAGAGATATTGTGCTTTAACAACAGCAACCAAGAAATAAATGACTCTTTGCCCCACTGACAGGTCAGGGTTTCAATGTTTCTTTCAGCACTGAAGGTAAAATGGCAACAAACATTTTCTCATTTTCTTTTTAAATCGGTTATTTTGTCAGAAAATATCTTCCTGAAAGTAGAATTAGTGCAGAGAACACCTTTTTTTTTTTAAACCCAACAGCAGTCTATGACATGAAATTATTGTTGTGTGTCTTTAAATATTTCTATGCATGCCTAGTAAAATATTATAAACTCTGAGGTTGG